TACCATATTTACTTGAATACAAGATGAGGTGTCCCCGCCCCCACTGCCCCAGTTAGCATGGGGGGAAAAAACCCTGGTTTTATAATCACATACAAGGAAACCTCACTAAATACATTGTCTATTATTAAACTGCTGCCAAAAGCAGCATATGCTCAGCAATGGAAACCAACTATGTAGCTGATTAAATGCAGCCAACACTGAGCATGACTGTATGACATATGACCCACACTAAGCAAACATACTGATGGGAACCTTTTTTTGTGGGTGGACCTTAAAAAAATGGACAGTTTCTCCCTCAGGAGGGAATAAGCACTGGGCCTGGAAGTACTGCAATACACCCTCCCCAGGTGGCAAGTATCCTCATCAGTCTGGGACTTCAGATACTCTCAAATCCATGGCAGGCATCTTACATGTAAGCCCCAAGCCTGTAGGCCTTGGGGGTTCAGATGCCCTCCAGTTTCATAGCCAAAAGGCTGAAGGAGCAAGCTAGAGGGAAAGCCCAAGAGCAATCCCCCATCACCATAAATTGTGTAGCGGAGTTCTTCCCATTGGCAGGCTACAGTAGGCTTTCACAGGGCTGCCCACCCACAAGGCAATGGACAGTTCTCCACTCTCAACTATACCAAGTCATTCAAGACTGGGAAGAAGGGGATCTCCCCTACCATTTCTATAAAACTACCTGGGCTAAAGCCATCATTATGGTATCTCCACAAAGATAGATTAACACAACCCATCTGAATAAGAGGCATAGCAGTGCCCTTTAAGTGCAGTCACCCTCACCACCGAGTCTTTTGCAAGTCATGGTGAACCACAACATGGCATATATTTTTACTTCCTCTTCACTCCCACAGCTGAGCTGTGCCTTTCTTTCCAATTATTTGTTTCTTCATCACCCTTAAATGCCTGGCAAACATCATGAAAAGGGAACCCAAACAGTTCACCCCAAAGCCCTTTGTCGCCTTCTCTTAGCCTTGTGCCTATGACCAGTATGCCCCACCCTCTATGAAGTGAAGTCATGCTGGGTTGGCCTGTGCTTCATCTGCATATACATTTTTAGAGCATGCCAGGACTCATGAGAAAAACACCTGGTTTGAGTCATGAGTGGGAGCTCATTACCACATAACTCCTTTATGGGAGGTATGTGGAGTACACACACACACACATACACACACACTGAGCAGTGCTGAGCTGTGGGGTCACCATGGCTTGAAATGCTGTTGACTCTGGTGGAGCCCAGCCCAGTGAACAATGTAGTAAATCATAAGCCTTGGCTTTGGACTAATATCATGCATACCACCTGACCAGACAGCTAGGGACCCGAACAGATCGCTTTGACCAGTTCATCTTTTGCTTCAGGTCTGCACTGTGGAAAACCGGGAACCTGTTCATAAACAGACACTCGGAGCCCACAGTCAAGGACTGTATTAAAATGGGACTAAGTGAAATGTACTGGTACTACAGGAAGACAGAAAAGGATGACGGGAAAGAAATGGCAGACCTCACCTGGTGGAGAAGGGTCTGGCATAGACCTTTTCAGGAGTAGACCCTCTGAGGAGGGCAGTGGGTGAGAATACAGGTATGGAGATAGAGCAAGGGTGCACGGTTGCATGGTGTGAACTGTGTAACAGGGTTTTTAGTGTGCTTTGAGCTGCCAAGTGAACCACAAAGGCCACTTGGCAGAGTGTCAGAAGTAGAGTTGTTTGTTTGTTTGTTTGTTTGTTTGTTTGTTTGTTTGTTTGTTTGTTTGTTTGTTTAGAGAGAAATAAATCTTTTTGCAAAATAACCCAAAAAATTTTGTACTACATACAAGTCAGTGTCAAAGTGCTGTTCAAAAGTGCATTTATGGAATTCCTGTACTAAAACTTGCAGCAGTTTCAAGAAAGGTAACCCGCATCACTTCTGGATGAACTAAGTCTATGGGTACTATAAGGAATTGCTGCATCCATGTTTAATTTCAGGGTTATTGCTTTCAAATTTGCTCCTCACTTCCATGTGCTGAGGAAGAGGAGGGTCTGACAGTAAGGAGAGGGGGAAGGGGCTACCAGGGCAAAAGTTGGAGGGAAGCAGAGATCAAAGGGGCTACTTGAGCCCCCTGAGTTATTTTCCTTGCTGTAGCAGTTGGAGGGGGACAAATTCATGCCAAACCTCCAATAATTAGATTATGTACCTGGAAAATTATAACAAATTTATAAATTTTCCATATATAAAATCTAATTATTGGAGGGGTTGGCTTATAATCAGGGTCACCTTCTATTCCAGTAAATACGGTACATGAGCCACAAAGCTTCACTGATAGAAAAATAAACCTGTGATTTACAGCTTTTGTATCTCGTGGTCTCTTGGATAGATGAGGACGGAGTAGCATGAGCTTGCATGCCAATGTGGACACTTACCATTGTTGTTATTTCATCCTGGACTTGATGGACATCAGAATACTTCCCATGAGTAGTGTTAAGTTTCAGAGAACCTCGACCAACAAATGTTCTTACTAAAATTAAGAACCAAAGTTGTCAGTAATAACACATGCAGGCAAGCTGTTATCTTGTCATGTCTCATGAACTAGACAGGGTACAGCTGGGTTCCTTGGGGAAACCCCAAGTGTTATAGCAATGGGTACCTAGGTATAAATCCAGTAATAGCAATAATACATTTCCTTTGGGATTTTTTGCAAGAAGTTGTGCATTAGCCCTACTATCATTGAATTCCAATTAAGATACATATATGTCCCCTACCTTAACATTTCTTTAGCATAAATTGAGAAGGGAACTATTCCCTTCATTTCCTATCCGAAACTGTTTTGCACTGGCACAACATGTTGTTAAACACCCTGCATTCTACAATAGTAATCCTTATACAAACCTCATGCCTTATTTCCATGAACCATAAGCCATGTGCAACATGGCTATTTAAGCAACTTATATTGTTTTACTTTATTTCTGTATCATGGGCAGTGATTTCTGAACTACAGACAGAGCTCGGTGAAATGTTTTCAACAAATACTAAATTTGCTAAAAAAATGCGGTGTCACTAGGACCAAAGCAATTAACAAATTTGGGTCAAATTTGAATCGTTTCACCTCTTCAAAAAGAAAAGAAAATGGAAAAATGTTTAGTTTGTTTTTAAATTGACGTTATAAAAAGAAATGAAAAGGGAAATAAAGAAGGGCAATAAAAGGGTTAAATACCCTGAAAACAAAATGTTTCATTTTGTACTCAGTGAATCATTTTGAGATGACCCAGAATTTCTTTTATTCTTTTGGGGCAACTACTAAACTTAAAAAGCCATTATTTGTACAGCACTCATTACCTAATGACTATGTCTAACTTTCTCTATAGGGAAATTTATAATATTACCCTGAAGGTCTTGGTAGACTACAGAAATCTCCCTTTCCCCTTCTGCACCAAGTCTTCTTTATTCTATATGGTGTGCATTTTCTCCCATTCCAATTTTATTCCTGAAATCCTGACAATGTTTGCTGCTCTTAGCATTTAAGAAGTTTTCCATTTTTTTCTAAAGCTTTCCTGGAGTGTGGTGACCAAAATCCCAACCAGTTTTTGAGGTGGAACCACATCTGGCTTAAATCTGCCAGCACAATCCTATCACAGTGTTGCAATCCCAACTCTCTTACCTAAATTGCATTTTCCTTTCTCAAGCTGGTACCCAAGAGGACATCTGCAGACAAAGGAGCCCTGGGTGTTGTTGCATGTGGCCATGACAGGGCATGGGTTGGAAAGACATTCGTCTACATCTAAGACAGAAGAGAAAAATAAAAGCCGGTAGAATTAAATAATGCTACAATCATAAATAGTAGGGCTGAAAAGCATTGCTTGGCTTCTCAATGTGCCCCCCAGTACATTGTTGGATGACTAACTACATCATTGCCACGTATTATTTATCCAGGTCTTAACTGTTCTGCTGGGGTTGAGTGAATAAATGCAAAAAAGTCTCTCATGCACATTCACTCTGAAGTTTTAATGGCTTTGGTTTGGCCCATGTTAAACAATGCCAACCTCTCACATGACACTTTCCATCTCAGAGTGCTTGACAAGAGTTAGCAGTCTCATTACCTTTGCTAGTGAAGAAAGTGAGACACAGAAATAACATGGCTCGTGAAAGGTTACGCAGCAGACCACAGTTAGAGCCAGGACTCGAACTCAGGTCTGCAGGGTTCCAGTTCTGCCCATTAAATATCAACCCTACTACTTCCATGGACTGTGTGAACCGGAGTTATTGAAGGAAGGCAGATCATTTCATTTTACATTCTTGGTATTATTACAGATACAAAATATCCGCACTTTTGGCTATTCTGTTGTTCTTTACCTGCACTGCAGTCTTTTCCTTGCCAGGCTGGTGAACACTCGCACTGAAATTTGCCCGTAAAGCGATTAACAATGCATTTCCCATCATGAAGGCATGGCTTTGTGGCGCAGACATCGACTGTAAAATAAGACATTGTGGGGATCAATGGCCGTAGTCATATATTTTCAAAGGCTTGAAGCTGTACTCAGATAAATGCTTATGGAAAAAGAATCACCCCTTAAAAAAGAACAAGACTTTTCTGCACTAGTTGCATACGCTCCTTGCGCTGTACATGTTATTGTCATTAGCATTAATCCACAGTAACACCAGCTAGTTAGATTACAAGGCAAGTGATGGGGCTGACACGCAGGGACTCAGACTTGTTGCGTGGTTGTTGCTGAGCCCATGCCATGGAAAGGCAGGAAGGACACGTTTTGAGGTTAAAGCCCAGAACAGGGGGATCAGGAATGCCAGTGCATTATTTCTGGATTTGTTACAAACGTATCTGGTGGTTTCAGACAGGTCACATGGGTCAAACAGTTCAAAACAAGACACTAGTTTGGGTGTCCAACCTGAAACACTTGGTTAGAGCAACTGCACACCCATGGTTGCATTTGGAGTGGTGGGTGTTCAGCACCTGAGACAAGCGGACCTCCAAGTACTTCAGGTGAAGCATCCAACACTAGCCTTGCTGGTGCCCTCACCCCACACCCACGGCCCCTGCCCACCCACAGCCCTGCTGGTGGGGGCCCTACAGGGCCCGGGACCCCGGTCTGCAAACCCCTGCCCCTAGGGCAAAGGAATTTTTTTTCTCCTATTTAGTTGATCTAATAAAAGATATTGCCTCTGACCCACGAGCTTTATCCATCTCTTTCTCAGACCAACACGGCTACAAAATAGATCTCTGAACACTGCAATGCACTCTGGAAAATACTGCAGAAATCCAAAGCACTTTTAAATTCAGAGTACAAAGCCTGAAATCTATGTCCCCCCAAAGTATTTCCTCCTTACAGTACATGCCAAGCCCTCTCTTTTTAAAAAATAATAAGTTAACAAGAATTGGAAGCACTCATTGAAAGCAAGCTACATTTAACTAGATTTTGACATAACATGCATTCATTTATAACAATATTCCTAATACAGGACTTCATAGATTTCATAGACATTAGGGATGGAGGGGACCTTGTAAGATCATCAGGTCCAGCCTTATATAGATTCATCAGTAATTAAGATAATCAGTCTTAAGGCAGACAAATGCAAGAACTGCATGAGTATCCAATGACACTGATACGATATAATTGGTACATCTCTGTGATTTTGCAGAGTTACAAGCGTAACAAAACCACCCAAGCTTTAACCATGGGTGCTTGTGACACCCAAATGACATTTTTCATGCTATTGAGCCCTTGAAAGTGCTCTACAGCCGTGACTTAACGGACGTGCGTGGCTGAAGAGCACTTTTAAAATGGTCAGGTGCATGAAAAATTAACCTTGGTAAAATACAGTATTAAATGAAAGCGCTTTAAAGCAGAGCACCTTAGGGAACTTGTGCTTCCTCCAGGGTTAATTTTTCCCATGGAGGCAGGTGGGCTGGTGCTCACTGCTGTCCCCAGGGCTGTCGGGGAGGGAGGGAGGGAGGGGAAAGCAGAGGGAGCTGCCAGCTGGTTTTGAATAACCAGATGTGGCAGGCGAGAGGGGGGCAGGGTGA